CTCCCAGCTCAGACATCCCCTGTTTTAAGAGCACTCCCAGCTCAGACATTCCCTTTACAAAGATCCCTCCCAGCTGGGACCCCTGTTCTAAGATCCCTCCTGGGTCTCCCACAGGCAGGTAGCTGAGGCCAGGGCACACTGGAGGGCTCCATGAAAGGACTTTCTAATTAGACAGTTCTGTGTCAGATCCTTCCCTGCCTTGGCTCTGACCTTGGCGGGAGGACTGTCAGCTGGAGCTGGGGCGGGGGCTCGAGGAAACACAGCCTGTACCCAGAGAGAAAGAGACACATATAAGGGCCGGGACCCAGGGCGGGCAAATGATGTCTGGGATTGGGGAAGGAAGCAGGAGCTAGGAGGCCCAGCTCTGGCCTTTGCTGGTATGCCACAGTGTGAGCCCCTCTCCCTCCCCACCTGCTCACCCCCCAATTACATAGCATTTTCTTGGCATATATTTTGTATTTATGTATCCACGGGCAATGTTATTTCTTCCATTGGAACATAAGCTCCCTGAGGGCAGGGGCTGGCTCATTTCTGTCTGGATCCCCAGCACTGGACATAGTGCCCAGTATACAGTAGGCACTTAATAACTGCATTTTGAGTGAATAAACGAATGAGGGCTGGAGAGGGCTGGGCAGTGTCAGGGGCTGGGGAAGGGGGCAGGAGGGGTCTGGCCCCCTCTCGGTGCCAGGGCCTCACCCCCAGCCTCATGCTGCGGCGGCCCTCTGGCCGTAGCTCTGCCTCGGCCCCTGGGCGCCGGCAGTCAGGGGCGTCTGGGGAGCTGGCAGTGTCCTTCGAAGCATCCTTCTGCAGGATCCAATCAGGAGAGTCGTGGGAGGAGGAAGGCAGCTGATGAAAAGCCATCCCATCGTCCCCCTCCACCCAAACCTGCTCTGCCCCCCCATCCTCACCTCTGAGCTCCGAAAGGACAGGAACGGAATCAGGGGATTGGACGGTTTGGAATCTGGAGAGAGAGGGGAGGGGAAGTCGAGTCCAGCAGGGAGAGCCCAGGCCTGAGCCTCAGCGCTAACTTGCTATGAGACCCTGGACCAGCCTCCCTCCTGCTTGGCCTCAGTGCGCCCCTCTGTACAATGGAAGAGGAAGTGTCGCAGGATCGTCCAGGCCCCTCCCAGCTCTGACATCGGGCGTCCTAACCTTACCGGCACGGGCACCTCCCTGCCAAGGACCGAAGCCGGGCACAGCCGACCATCCTCACTGCAGAAGCTGAGAGATGGAGGGCCTGGGATCTGACCTCCAGTCCTGGGATGGGGGATCCTGCAGTCTGCCTCCAGACCCGCAGGGAGGCTCCCATCTCCCACCACCAGGCTCATACCCTCCTGCCCCCGGGCCTTCAGCTCCTCCCTCAGGCCGGCCAGCTCCTGCTGCAGCGCCTGGTTTCGCTTCTCGGCTTCCTGCAGGAGGCTAGAGAGGGAGAAGGGGTGACCTTGTCCATGGCGGGCTCCTCACCACACTGACTCCCACGCCTTCATCAGGGAGCATCCCCCAGCCCAGCCCCCTGGGGCCAGGGTCTAAAGACAAGGTGAGGCAGAGATGTATGCAGGGCGCTCTGGGCCTCAGCTGCCAGAGAGAAATGAGGCCGGTGCCCTAGAGGGTGACCTAAGGGCCATCCCCACTCAGTACTCTAGGTCCCCCAGCTCCGTGTGCTAGGTCCCTCCCAGATCTGTGTTCCAGGTCCCTCTCAGCCTTGACTTTCTCTGTTCTGGCTGGTGGGCTAGACTTTCAAGGACCTTCCCAGCTTGGGTGGTTCCAAGACCTCTTTCCACTCTGACATGTTCTACCTTCCAAGGTCCCTCCCAGCCTTGACTTTCTGTGTTCTAGCTGGTGGGCTAGACTTTCAAGGACCTTCCCAGCTTGGGTAGTTCTAAGGCCTCTTTCCACTCTGACATGTTCTACCTTCCAAGGTCCCTCCCAGCAGTCATAACTAGCAATTTTGCCGCAGGGCAAATTGCACACAAGATGGTTCTCCAATCACATCTGGATCTTGGCTGGAAGGCGGAGCCCCCTCCCCCTCTTCCACACACAGACCGTGAGTCTCTCTGATAGCCCCTATTTTAACTTCTCCATAACTAGGCACCCAGGACACAGCCCTAGTCACCATGCCTGGGTGTGGCTCCACCACCTCGCTCTCACGTTCTAGGTTCTAGAGTCCCTCCTAGTCCGGACACATTCCATGCTCTAGGTTCCAAGGTCCATCCCAGCTCCAATGTCACGTGAGCTTAAACTAGACCGTCCATTCTGCTCACCAGCCTCTCCGACTACCTCTCGCTCCTTCTCTCCATCCCCTCCGCATCCTCAGGGGACCTACCTCTCCCCTCGGCGCTGGGCTTCCTGCACCCGGCCCAGCTCTTCCTGAAGGCTCTGCTTGGCTCGGATTTCGGCCTCCAGCGCGGACTGCAGCTCCAGCTTGGCCGAGGCCTCCATCTTCTGGAGCCGCCGGACCTTCCACTGGTGGTCCTGGCCCGCGAGAAGGCCAGATCCGTGAGACCCCCCCCCCCGCCTCCCTCCAAGGCTGCCCTGACTCCCGTCCCCCGTGGATGTCCCCAGGCCAGCTCCGTCACTAATCTGCCATGGGACTGTGGGCAAACACATTCCCCTTTCTGGGAATTCCCCTACAGTTTCCTCATCCGTACGATGGTTTCTGTGATGGTTGAACTGCTAGATTTCTAGAGGCCACCCTGCAGCTCTGTCACTCTGTGTTCTGGGTTCTTAAGCCCCTCTGAGCTGATAGTCTATGGTTTTGAGAGCAATTTGTTCCCAAGTCAGGGTAAAGAGTCTTAACAATCTCTGCCCTGATTTCCGTTTGGACAGTGGGGTCCAGAGTGGGCAATATTGGGCCCGAAGGGACGGCTGGCCGATGGTGGGATTCTGGGCACGATGCCCAGCCAGGAAGGAGACCTCCCCCCTCCAGACGCCCCAGGCCCAGGGACTCACCAGCGGCCGGGCAGGGAGCGTCTGGGTGCCCGCAGCGCGTAAGGCCTCCAGCTCCTCCGCCATCTTGGTGGCCAGAGCCTGCAGGTAGCCTCGAGAGACCTTCTCGTCATTCACCCTGTGGGAGGGCAGGGGGGGTTCGGTTCAGGAGCCTTCGCCCTCCCCTCCCGGCTCCCCGAGCAGGCAGCAGCATCACCCACCAGGTGAGGATGTCGGAAATCTGGGCCTCCCAGCTGCTTTCCCTCTCCCGCCTCTCTCCTTCCAGCTGTTTCTTGATCTGCTTCTCTTGTTCCAGCTCTCCAGACAGCTGCCCAGAAGGAAGAACAGAGAGCCCCAAATAAGGAGATCTCCAAATGCCACCTTCTCCAGGAAGCCCTCCCAGATCCGGCTTATGCCAAGGTGGCCAAGGAGGGGCCCCGGCCCACCTGCTCCTGCTCCCGCGTCAGACGTCTGTTCTCCTCCTGCAGCCTACAGAGTTCATCCTTTCCTTTCGGGCCGGTGGTGCTAGGGGAGAAGACATCAGCTGACGGCTCCCTGAGCCCAAAGCGGCCCTGGCACCAGAGCCCCAGGGTCCCACCCCGCCCTCCCTTCTCACCCCTGGCTCCTAGCCTGGTCCAGCTGAGATCTCAGAGCTTCCAGCTCCTTCATCAGGGCCTCCTGCTGGCCAGCCCCGTCAGGGCTCAGGGGGCCAGAGCCGTTGGTCTCAGGGGGGGGATGGGTGGCCTACAGACAGGAGAAGAGAATCAGCTCCCCAGCCCCAAGCCCCTTGCCCCTCCCCAAAGGGCGGAGCCAGCGAGGCCACAAAGCCTGCCTCAGCCGGCCGCCTTGGGCTGTGTGTCCCCCTCCTCTATTCAGGGACTCAGGGCCCACATGTGCCCCCAATCGAGGTGCTCTCAGGAAACGATCTAAGCAACTCACTCACACACAAGGCAGAAAGATGAACAAATTTATGTGTGAGACAGAGGGGGCGCATTTGTGTTTGAGAAAATGGTTAAGCTAAAGGAATGAAACCCTAATGGTGGATTTTCAGAGTCGGAAGGGGCCGAGGGACTTCCCCAAGCTTCCTGAACTGAGCAGGGTTCAGTGAATAGATAGGTACTTACTAAGCCCCCACTAGAGAGGCCCGAGGACCCTCTCAGTGCCCGTTAGGTGGCCCTCCATCCCTGCTCCTCATGGGTACCTTGACTCTGGACCTCTCCTTCTCCCGGCTCCTCTCCCTCTGCTTTCTGAGCCGCATCACGTCGCTGCTCAAGGCAGCCGCCTGGGCCTCCAGCTGAATTGGGGGGCAAGGGTCACATGGTCAGAAACCTCCTAGGAAAGTGACCTTGGGCAGAGCAGAGAAAGCGCTAGGCTCAGGGGAACAAACATTTATTAAGCCCCTACTGTGTGCCAGGCTAAGCTCTCTACAAATATTACCTCGTTTGATCCTCACATCAACCCTGTGCTATTATTATCATCCCCATTTTACAGATGAGAAAAACAAGGCACACAGGTTCAGTGACTTGCCCAGGGCCACTTAGCAAGGAAATGTCTGAGACTACATTTGAACTCAGGTCTTCCTGCGTCCAGCCCTGTGCTCTATCCATTAGGTCACCTGGGTGCCGCATGGGAGACTAGGGTTCAAATCCTGCCCCAGACACTTATGAGTGCCATGTCCATAGGCGGGCCATGTATTTCCTCTGTGCCTCAGTTTCCTCCTCTGTAAGTTGGGGAGCAGACAACAGAGAGAATACCTGCAGCACCTACCTTGCCAGGCTTGCAAACCCCAAGGTGGGTGATGGATCTTAGGACCTGGGCCGGCATCAGTGTTGGGCACACCCTCCCCTGATGCAGACACCCGCTCACACTGCCCCAGGAGACGGGGGACATGCAGAGGTCACAGGGACGGCGGGCACATGACAGACGCTGGCTTGGTCGACCGTAACTTCAGCGTCTGAGAGACCAGCCCGGGGCCCCACGGCTAGCAGGCGCCGAAGGCCAGACTGAGCTCGGTCCTCCTGACGGCACAGCCGGCCTCTCCCCACTGTGCCGAGCTGCCCCTTGAGCTGAGCCGTTGATAAACATGAGCTCGCATCATCCGAGCCAAACACGCCACCGACCCCCAGTGCGGAAGGGGCTCGCCCCCGGCCTCGGGGTCCTGGGCCCTCTCCGCCACAACCAGGCTCAGCTACCTGGCTCTGGGCTTCCCGGGCGTCCTCCAGCTGCTGGCTCAGGGCCTGGGCCCGGCTCCTGGCAGCCCCCGCGGCCTCCTCAGCCTCCCGAAGCCTCTGCTGCAGCTCCTTCTGCCGCCCATCAGAGATGACCAGCTGCTGGGCTTGGGCTTGCAGCTGGGCCCGGGCCTCCGACAGCTCCTAGGAGCAAAGGGACGAGGACGGGATGGAGGCTCCGGCTGGGCTCTGCTTCCCGACCTCCCCCCGGCCTCACTCGAGACCCCAGAGATCCCAGAGCATCCTGGGACATGAATCAGGCAGGCCCGCTCGAGAGTCTAGCTGGCAGAGAGCCGGGAGCAACCTCAGAACAGGCTCAGAATGGGCTGTGACTGGCCCAAGGCCACCCAGTTAGTCAATGGCAGCTGACTCTAAGCCCACCCCCCCACACCCCACACGCTGCTCGCTGTGGGAGTCACCATGAGCCCCACGGGCAGTGACAGGGGGTCTCAAACCTGGCAAAGCTGGCCTCTCTCCTGCTGCCAGCTGCTCCCAGGGGCCGGCCTCCCGCCGGGAGCGCCCTCAGCCTGGGCTTCTGTTGGGGAAAGAGCCAGAAATGAATGATACAGGACGCGATCCCAGCTGCCTCCACTCCCACAGGGCTGCTGTCCTGGGACCCTCAGGGCTCTCTGGGCAGAGGCCCTGGTGGGGCATGGGGCCAGGGCACCTCCAAATGTTAGTCACAGCCTGAGGAGGCTTTAGAGATCAGGCCAAAGCACTTGTACAGATGGGGAAATTCAGGCCCAAAGCGGGCAAGTGAGGCAGGGGGCACATGGGTGGAAAGCTGGGCCCAGAAGCAGGAAGACCTGAGTTCAAATCCTGCTTCAGACGCTTACTATCTGGGAGGCCCTGGACAAGTCACAACCTCAGTTTGCCTCAGTTTCCTCAACTGTCAAATAGGGATCAAAACAGCAGCTGCCTCCCAGGGTTGTGAGGATCAAGTGAGATGGTATTTGTAAAGTGCTTAGCAGGGCCCGGCACATAGTAGGTGCTTAATGAATGCTTATTTCCTTCCCCCTATTCCAGAGCATGTGCTCTCCGCTGAACTTCAGGCCCAGAGACAACGTCCCGCCCAGCTGGTACCTGCCAGCTTCCTCCGGAGGGTTTCCACCTCCTTCTTCAGCTGCTCCAGCTCCTTGCGGCCGGGGGCGGCTTTCTGCAGGGCATCTGGGGAAGAGGCGTCCCTGAGGAGCTCCGAGGCAACAAACCCTCTGCCCCCCTGCCCCCAGACCCAGCAGCACACGCCCACTCACCCTGCAGCTTGTGGCTCAGCTCTGCCTTCTCCTGCTCCAGGCTCTGCATTCTCCACTCCAGACTAGAGGCCAGCAAGTCAGGGCTCTCATTTGAGCCAGGCCTGGGGCTAGAGACAAGGAGGAGACCAGGGGGAGTGAGTGGCATGCACCCACACAACCCTGGCAACAGCCGCACTGCACTGAGAGAGCTGGGGGCAGGAGCAGAAGGAGCCCCTGGCCTGCAGCTCTAACATACACAGCTCTGTCCCCCGGCAGCCCTGGCCATTCTCCTCATCCCTGGCTATCCCCCCCACCCCTGGTAATCCCCCCGACCCCTGGTACCTCCCAGCCCTGGCCATCCTCCCCACCCCGGTCATCCCTCCCACCCCTGGTACCCCCCCCCAGCCCTGGTCCCCTCCCACCTTGGCCCCCTCCAGCTCTGTCCCCCGGCAGCCATGGCCATTCTCCTTATCCCTGGCTATCCCTCCCACTCCTGGTACCTCCCAGCCCTGGCCATCCCCCCCAGCCCTGGCCACCCCCCCCATCCCTGCCCCCAGGTTCCCAACAATCTGGAGGGAGGTGGAGGCCAGGGAGGGCTGGGGACAACACGGGAAGGTTACACTCACGTGAAGGTGAAACCCACGAAAGGCAGGTGGTGGCCGGAGAAGGTCCCATGGGACGCAGGCGGCAGGGTCCCCTGCAAACGAGCAAAGGAAGATCAAGGGACAGGATGAACAGAGCAGCACTCGCTGGGTGTCGAGCCGTGACTGCACCGGGCCGCCGGGCAGACCTCTGCACCAGCCCACCAAAGTGGAGGCCCAGCTCTGACCCTGTCACTCCCTGCTCCAAAGTCATCAATGGCTCCCAACTGCCTCAAGTGTGCAAACCAAACAGCGCCCCTCCTGTCACCGTGGTTTGCCTTGTGCTTCCGTTGTCCTCTCTCTGCCTTCCCTCTGGTCTGCCCCAGATGCACTCCGTTGCTGAGTCGTGCTCCCCCCATTCCCGTAGCTAAACCCCTAGGTCAGGCCCTCATCTCTCCTCAGCTGGGATAATACAGTGGATCGATTGGGTTTTTACACACACACACACACACACGCACACACACTATTTGAGTTGAGTTGGATTTTTTTTTGGGGGAAGCAATCAGGGTTAAGTGACTTGCCCAGGGTCACACAGCTAGTAAATGTCAGAGGCTGGATTTGAACTCAGGTCCTCCTGACTCCAAGACTGGTGCTCTATCCACTGCGCCACCTAGCTACCCCCTCTATTTAATTAGTGTTATATTCTGGGGCTCCCCACAGCCCACCGAATGAGATGTAAATTCTTCAGCTTGGCAGTCGTAGAATCGTTCACTTGGAGCTCAGACAGATTGCAGAGATGGCCAACCCTGTCATTTTACATAGGAGGACCCCGAGGCGTAAGCAAGGCTCTCCACGTTTGCCCAGCCTTCCCTCTCTCTGCTTTACCTCCAAACCAAACTCTCTGTCCCTCATTCTCACCGCCAAGCCTTTGCCCGTGCTGCGCCCCACGCCTACGACTGACTCCCATCGCCCCTCCCCATCTCTGCCCTTTGAAGCCCATTCCACTTCCCTCGGAAAGGCTTCCTCGATAGGCCCCCTCCCCACCCGTTCCCTCGGTTGGCATCTCCACTGGCTCCTATGCCTTGCCAAGGCTTCTTCCCTGCGCCAGTTACTTCCATAATCATCCTTCTCCTCATTGGAGGACTGAGACCTGAAGGAGGGTCCTGAAGACCACTGGGTCCCAACTCCGGGGGAATTTCACATGGGGAAACTGAGGCCCAGAGAAGGCCACAGGTAGGAGGAATTGGCAGAGCTAGGCGCCCTTCCCATTGCCCAGGTGCGTAAGGCTGGCTCTCGAGGCTGGAGTCTGGGCCCCCTCTCCTTATATGCCCATCACTGAGTGAGCCCAGCGACATACTCAGCAGGGGCTCCCTAAGTGTTTGCAGGCCCGAGCTGACTCAAACTCTAACATGCAGAGATGGGAAAGCCATGAGATTCTGCTCTAGGAAACATGGACCTGAGAATAACACCCTAGGGTGGCGTCCCCCACATCCTGGCCAGGCTGCCTGGGGCTGAAGACTACAACTCCCATGAGACTTTGTGGGGTAAACCTCCATAGGAGCCAGCCGGCCACCCGCAGAGGCTGCTGGGAGTTGTAGTCCTACCCTGCGTCTAGGGTACACCGGGCTAATCCTGGGGATCCTGGTCTGGAGAGAGGGGCAGATGTCACCTCCCCTCCCACCTTCAAAGCTGAATCACTTGAGTCTAGACTAAACTACCCCTATCTTGGAGGATGGAGGATGCAAATGCCAACACTGCGTTATGGGCCAAGGAGCATTCTGGGAATTGTAGCTCTTGCATCCCCAGAGACCCAGAAGGCAGGCAGCCCCCCGGGGCCAGGCATCACCCCCTCACCGGGTGGTTAAGGGTGTCATCGTCCACGTCAAAGTTGGAGGTGTCCATGGGCCCCTGGAGCTCTGGAATGTAGGGGGCAGTGCTGCTTGGGAGCTGCTCCCAGTCTACCCCCTCAAAGAAGGGGTGCCCCCGGAAGTCATCCAGGCCCCCCTGGCCCAGTCTCTCCTCCTGGCAACACAGGAGTTTGCGGATCAGGTCCCGGGCACTCTCTGACACCTCGGGGACGTCTGGGGGAAACTGCAGATGGTCCTGGAGGAGGAAAGAGAGTGCTGGGACCCCAGACTCAGCTTAACCCCTTCTCCAGAGCCCGGTCACTGAACCAGAACCCAGGAGCCTGCACCTCACCCCCTACCTAGAACCTCGGCCATCTTCACCCAGCTCTAGAACCCACACCAGAACCTCGTCCTTAAACTTTGTGCAGCCCTCCCCCTAGCCTAGAACCTTAGATGTTTCCTTGCCCTTGTGTACAAGTTAAACATATGCTCTTCCAAGCTAGAACCTGGGTGGCGGTCTCTGGCCCCCAGCCTTGAATCTTGAGCATCCTTAGCCTAGCCTAGAACCCCAGGGATTGCTCCTGGGCATTCCCACCCCATTTTGTCCTGGAACCCAGATACTTGTCCTAGAACCCGGGTTAGCTATCCCCAGCTCAAACCCCAAGACTTCTTCCTGAGTCTAGAACTTGGGTATATATCCCTCGCCTCTTGCCTAGAATCCTGAGTTCAGAGGCCCATAGCTTCAGAGGTCTTTAAGTCCCAGCCCCTCATTTCACAGATGAGGAAACTGAGGCCCAGTGAGGGAAAGGGATTTGTCAGGTCACAAAGGCTACCATGGTAGCCTCTGCTCTCCCTTCCTGCCCTCCGTCCGGCACCCTGAGGCCTTCTTTGGCCTCCTCCTCCTGCCCCATCCTGCTGACCTCATAGTTCATGATCTTGCCGTAGGTCTCCACCAGAGACTCAGCGTAGAAGGGGGTTTCTCCAAAGAGCAGCTCATACATACAGACCCCCAGGGACCACCAATCACACTGTGGCCCGTAGTGGCCCTTTCCTTCCTCCATGGCCTGGAGGATCTCGGGGGAGATGTAGTCAGGGGTGCCAACAGCCACCGAGGAGTCCACCTGGAGGCCAGGGACAGGGGCAGGGTGAGGCCAGGGCGTCAGATGGTGCCTAAGTCCACACTGCCCCTAGGAGGCCCCCACCTCACCATTCCGTTGGCGTTGAGCCGCAAGCAGGAGCCAAAGTCGGCCAGGCGAATGTGTCCATTTGTGTCCAGGAGCACGTTGTCCAACTTGACGTCCCTGTGCCAGGAGAGCCAGGATCGGGTCAGAGGATGTGGAAGTCACAGGGAGGGACCTCAGGGAGTATCTACTGAGCCCAACCCTGACTCACTGTACAGAGGGACAACCAAGGCCCAGAGAGGGAAGCAGCCGGCCCAGGGTCACACTGCTAGAAAGAAGGAGAGCCCAGGCCCATGGGCTCCTAAATCAGCGTTCTCTCAACTACATGACTTAATCATTTCAACAAGCCTTTGGGTGCCTGCCCTGTGCCAGAGACCACGTGGGCTCAGTGGGATGGCCGAATCCTGAAAAGGGGCCAGGGTCTGCCTGGGGCAGGATTCCTATGTCCTAGGAAGGAATCAGAAGCCTGTGGAAGGAGTAGAAATCAGCAGCTACATTTGGGACAGGGCCAGAGGTGAGACCCTACCGGAGAGGGCAGCTGGCAGCTGTGTTAGAGCAGGTGGGGGAATGGGAAGCAGGGAAGAGTGAGAGGCCAGAGACTGCAGAAGAAAAAGGTGGGTGAGGTGCTGCACAGAGACAGCCAGGGCCAGAGGACCTGGCCCAAAGCCCAGTTCTGCCCCTGAAAACCAAGGGGCACCTTGGGCAAGGTCCTTTCCCTCTCTGGGCCTCAGAGGCGTGGACTCAGTGACCTTTGAGGTATGCCTCTGCTCTCCAGCTACCATCCTGTGACATCAGGTAATGGCCCCTGGGTTCTAAGAAGGAAACTAGAGGCTTTGAGGGACGGAGGGCAGAGGACCAGGATCCTGGGTTCTTAGAGGGAAGAAGGGCAGGCAGGTTGGCCTGGTAGGTGAGGATGGAGACAACTTTGAGGTCTACTGGTCCCAGAATGGGGACTGGGCACCTGTGCACATAGCCCAGCTGGTGAAGGGAGTGGATGGCTAGCACCATCTCAGCCAGGTAGAACTGTGCCAGCTCCGGGGGCAGCCGGTCCTCAAAACGACTCAGCAAGGTCAGCAGGTCTCCACCAGCATAGTAGTCCATGACCAAGTACTGCACAGGGCATGGGGGAGACAATAACCATTTATTAGGCTCCTACTATGTGCCAGGCACTGCACCAAACGCTTTACACATAATATTGCACTTGACCCTCGGGTCATTTCACCAATGGGCGACCCCGTCGACTCGGTCCATCACGTCCCAACCCCCAGGCCTCCGGCGAGCTCATCACGGGCTCTAGCTAACCTACAGCACAGCCTCGAGTCCCTCAAGCTGCCCAGGGGAATTTCGAAAGCTAGGGCCCTAGCACCCCTGCTCCCCAAGGCACCAAACCTCCCTTGTGAATCCCAGGGGTGTGGGGCACTCTCAGACCCTCAGCGCCAAGGTCCAGAGGGGGGACCCAGACTTGGGGTTAGCTGTGCCTCAGCCCTGCCCTGACCCTGTGCCACAAAGGCCCCCAGCCAGCCCCTCACTGCCACGCCCACCAGATAGTCATCATCCTGGAAAGCCCAATGTAGCGTCGTCACCCAGCGGCCATCTCCCTTCACCAGGACGTCTCGCTCCTCCCGGAAGCAGGCAGTCTGGAGGAGAGAAAGAAAGACATCAGTCACATGGGGGACAGAGTGGCCCGAGCCCCAGTCACAAAAACTCCTGATTGATGGGTGCTACTCCCAGTTCTTATACTTTGGCGGAGTCTCTGGCTAGCCCTTGCTGACTCAGTTTCCTCAGCTGTAAAACAAGGAGTCCAGACCAGATAAGCTCGAAGTTCCTAATAACTCTGACATTCTATGCTCTAGCAGGCAGAGGGATGGATGGACTGACCTCGGCCCTCTTCAGCATCTCCCATTTATGCAGCATCTTCATGGCAAAGATCTGGTCGGTGTTCTTTTGTCTCACCACGGCGACCTGCAGGGACCACAAGGAGAGCGAGGGTCAGGCTGCCTTCCATGGCATGGACCCTCCGCCCCCCCGCCCACCGCGAGCCCTTGGGAACTCACCTCCCCAAAGGCCCCCCCGGCCAATCACTTTGAGGATCTCAAAGTCATCCCTCTGGAGCCTCAGTTCTTTCACCTGTTTCACGAAGGGGGCGGCTGAGAGGGGAGAGAAAGACTCAGTTGAGGAGAGAAGGAGGAGACGCAGGGGCCGTCGGGCCTCCCCGCTCTGCTGTTAGCTTGCATGGAGATCTTGGGCATGTCCCCTCTCCCTGGCTCTCCCCCTTTGTAAAAGGAAGGAGTTGGAAAAGAGACAGGCATTGTGGGGCCAGGTTTAGGATCCTGCCTCTGACACCTCCAGGAAGGAATGAGGGAGGGAAGGAGGGAGGGAGAGAGGGA